CTGATCCCCCTGGTTAGATAACTTACTTTATCAGTCTCCATGCTCTTTGTGAGTCACTTCTGCCAATCTCATTTACAGGGTAAATGTGGCTTTTATTGGATGCTTTCCAGGAAGGCAGGGAGTAAGGAGCTGTATTTCTTCATCAGTGCTAATATCCTTCCCGTCCCCCTTCCTCCAAGGTAGCTTTCCCTGACCGCCTCAGCCCACACCGATCTCTCCCTCCTTTGAGTCCCTCCAGCTCTTAGAATCAGCTCCACCCAATCTCAAACCCAAGCATCCACTCTATGTCTTCTATGTGCCCAAGTTGTGACTAGCTGACCCTGCTCTCATTCCATGCCTAGGACCATACCAGCTGCACCCTCTGCACATTCCTCGAGAGGAGGATTGGGAAGCTGACCACAGAAGCAATCAGCTTCCCCAGGGATGCCTGAGCTGAGAGACTCACTCCCAGAAAAGAAGACTCAGAAAATGGTTTGGGAGCTTGCAGGTAGAAGCTGAGGCCTGAGGTGGGAGAGAGAAGCAGAGGACCCATGATCAGATTGGCTCACCTAGGATGGGATGCCTGCACTATGGGTCCTTTCCCAGGGAGAGTGAGTAGCAAGGGCCTGCACACTTGGTCTGGCCTGGCCTGGCCCTGCCTCCTAAAGGCCAGTAGACCAGTTAAGGGGAAAGGGAAGGCAAAGAATAGAGGAGTCAGTCACTCCTAATGGGCTCTGGGGCCACAAATCACCTCCCTCCCCATTGTACTATAGATCGCTTCCCAGCAACTTACAGAGGATTGATAAAGAATTTTCTTTGGGGCAAGATCATGGCCTTCTCATTTACTGCTGAGGCTACCCCCTTTCTCCAGTTCCCAGCCTATAGACACACACACACGCACGCGCACACACACACACACACACACACACCCTCCTCCCTAGCCCCCAAAAGCCTCCAGTGCTCACTCCAACCAAACCACTGAAATTAGAGAAACCGTGGCTGACGCAATTTCCTGAGGGGAGGGAGGTTGGTCTTTGAGGTTCTGTGGGCTGAGGAGGAAAGGGGCCTAAAGGGATAGCAGAGGTAGGGAGGCAGGGGGAATGGGGAGCACAGAAGGAAATGAGATCTAGGGTATGGGTGATTAGGGAAACTTGGGGGAGAGAATGGGAGAAGCCAAGGAAGAAGGGATGGAGGGTTCAGAGAGAGTGGGAGGAGTGGGGAACAGAGAGTAGGGGAGAGAAGGAATGGAAAGATGGAAGAGGAGGAAACAAAAAAATTGGGTAATGAGAAGGGGACCGAAGTGGATAGAGAGGGAGCAAAGGGCTAGTTGGACTATCTGAGTCGCTTTTATTTTCTTATATATTTAGTATATAGACCAAAAACCAACATCTGCATAAAGTGGACGCCATCTTGTTAAATATTGTTAAGAGTGAGGAGAGAATGTGAACAATTGGCCAATGGGGATGAGAGGAGAGAATTCGGAAAGAGAACATTATCTGAGGATTTGAGTCTCCCCTCCTGATCTGACTTTCCATTTGGGGCTCCCTGTGGGCACAGTTCTCTCTCATCCCACCAGGGCTCCCTGAAGGCAGGATCTGGGGCTCTTCCATCGGGCCAGGGTCCCCTTAAGGCAAGCTTTGTAGCTACTTCCACAGGCTGAGGGCTGACAGAAGACAACAAGTTTCTTCCTCTCTGTCTCCAGCTCTGGGGAGGTGGTTGGAGGCCCAAAGGTTCTCCAAGAAGACAGAATGGCTCAAAGTCATTTGGATGGGAGGAAAGAGAATCCAAAGCTGAGCCTGGGAAATGACATCCTCAGGACTGACTCTCCGGCCTGAGGACATCCACAGCAGGGGCCCTGGGGGCAGCTGACAGGTGACCTCTGCCCCCCAGGCCTGTTTGCACAGCTGTAACCCCAGAGAGACCAAAGAACCCAGTGCTTTCCTGGAGTTGGGGGAAGTAGGGGTGGCAGAAAGGAATGTGAGGGGCATTGGGCCAGGACCCCAGGCAGGAGCTGGCCCAAGTTCCTTGCTCTGTTAATCTTGTAAGAGGACCAGGAGTTCCAATTATCAGTGGGAAAGGGCCAAGGAGGGTGAACAAGTTGTTTAAGGAGGGTAAGGTGCGGCGGGGAGGTCTGGGTGGACCTTCCAATGGGGTTGGAAGGCATGGCCAGGGGGTACTGGGGCAAACGGAAAGAACAGGATGAGCAGGGCAAGGCAGGGCAGTCCCCTAAGGCCTCTGAAGTGGAGGAGGTGACAGGTGGAGCCTTGCTTTGAGCCTCAAACCCACCAGAAGAGAATGAAGGGGAAGCTGAAAGGATGCTCTCTGGAGGGGGCCTGCTCAGATCACACCAGGCAGTAAGAAGCAAAACCCAGACGTGAACCCGAGTATTCCAGCCTGAAATCCAGTGTGGTCTCTGTCCCATTCAATGTCATCTCCCTCTCCCAAGACACCTTCCACAGGTGTGTCTCTAGCCGGTCTTCCCTGACCTCCAATCTATCAGCTCATGTCCACCTCCAAACGCGGTTGACTGGAGGAGGAAGGGCCCTGGGCTCTGCTGTCAGCAAATCCGGGTTCAAATGCCACTTCTGATGGTCTCTCCCTTTATGACCCTGGGCAAATCACTTTTACCTCTCCGTGCCTCAGTTTCCTCATCTGTATATGGGTGGGTGGGGTTGCCTTGATGGTTTCTAGAATCCCTTCTTGCTCTAGAAAGCTATGATACAATGGAGTTGAAGGTCACTGAGTTGGTCAACTCGGGTAGATATTGTGGTCAGTGGGTTGAGATACTGCAGTGGTCCGTGGGGGCATGGTCAATAGGAGTGGTCAGTTGAGGTGGCTGTTGGGAATGTTTTTCTCCTTGACTTCCTCATCCTCACTGTGCATAGATCTCCCTTCTACACATTACTGCCCAATGCTCAATGCAATCATTCAGGTCCCCATGCCTTCCCCTCCCTACTGGACTCTAAACTTTTTTTTCTTTTCTTTTTTTTTTTTGGTGAGGCAATTGGGATTAAGTGACTTGCCCAGGGTCACACAGTTAGTAACTGTCAAGTGTCTGGTCTGAGATCAAATTTGAACTCAGGTCCTCCTGACTCCAGGGCAGGTGCTCTATCCACTGCGCCACCTAGCTGCCCAACTCTAAACTTCTTGAAGGCAGATGCCTACCTTTTCCATTTGGGATATTGGTGGTGCCTGGCACAGAGCTCAGAGCCCAGCCGAGGCTAAGTTTGTTTCACTGAATTGGAGGGAGCTGGTAGAGGAAGGGGCTGGGCCAGAGGCTGCCATCCTTCTCTCGAGGGCTTCACGCCTCCCACCTCCTTGGATCAGACTCACCTACAGAGCTGGTGATGGACCGTCACCCTTTCTCACTCCTCATCTTTCCAGCCCTGGGCTCAGCTCAATTTTAAGTTCTATAAATGCCCAATCCAGACCTCACCCTGTTTCTTGGAGTTTTGATTTTCCCCTCTGTTAAATGAAGGGAAGATAGGGAAGGGGAATTAGAAAGCAGGAGTCACAGGTGCCAGGCACTGTTTGAGGTATAGTGACTTGTCCAAGGTCACACAGGTAGAAAGTAACAGAGGCAGCATTGGAACCCAGGTCCTCTGACACCGAGGTAGTGTGGAAACTTCTCATTGTGCCTCCCCAGGCACGATCCTCAAGGGTGCATCCTCATCGCCACACCCATAGCCTGCGGTCATGGCTATACCAGACCCGCTTTCCAACAGGCTCTGTCCTGGCACGAGCGGAACGGCCTCAGCCAGGCCTCTGCCTCCCCCAGCACTCTGGCTAGCCAGTTCCAACCCCACCCTGTTTCCCCGAGCTTAGGTTTCCTCTCTGTTTAAAAAAAGCAGGGCCGGTGTGAGAGACCAGAGACACAGGTGGAAAATGAGGTCTGACACTGACTGTCTGGGTGATCCTGGGCAAGGTACTTCCTCTCTGGACCTCAGTTTCCTTCTCTGAAATATGATAGAATTGGATTAGATGAACTCTTAAGGTCCCTTAAGATTAACTTGCCCAGAAAAAACCATCTCCCCGGTTACCTGCGGATACCCCTAAGTATGGTGGTGTGGCTCCCTCCAGAGCCCAAAGCCTGTAACTACAAGGGCCTCCTCCTTTCCTAGCTAGATATTTGCCCGGAGGGACCCTGCCTCTACCCTCCTTAAATTCCTCTTCAGCGGAGTCTCTTCATGACTACCACTCTCCTTGCCAGAGCAATAGGACCTGGGCATGGTGGGGGAGTTGCCCTGGAGCAAACCCTGTCCTCTGCACGATGACCCAAGGGAGGGAACAGAAGGGGCCAGAGCCCCAGGACACCACCCCGCTAAGTCCTAGGAATAAAGAAGCCTGGTCAGGCAGGAGGTGAAAATAGCCTGGAGCTGGGGCTGGGGCTTTCTCTGCCACCCAGAATCTGCCTATGCTCACTTACCAGGCTCCACTGCCCTTTGCTGGGCATGGTAGAGGGAATTGGGAGTTTTCAAGAATGCAAATGACACTGGTCCAGAGACGTAGACTCATCCCTGCTCCACCCTCTGGGGAGCTCAAGCAGGTGCTGCCCACTGACCAACAGCACAGAAACGAACACCCCCCCCCCCAGACAATGTGGGGGGGACAATCCACATGTACCTTGTCTGGCCCTCACAAGTCTCACCTGGCTCTCTGGGAAGCACAGTCAGCTCGGCAATATGAGGGTCCATCTAGACTGAATTGGTCAACTGGGATGGATATTGTGGTCAGTGGGTCTAGATACTGGGGTGGTCAGGAGGGGGCATGGCCAATAGGAGTGGTCAGTTGAGCCTAACTCAGCTTTGGGAGTCAGGCTAAAGGCCTGATTATAGGCGTCGGGAAGAGAAGGGGGCTGCCCCATCCCATCAGAGTTAGTTTGCAATGGATTCTGCTTTCCTGCTCCACAGACCAAATGTGCCACCCAGTTATGGGAGTTTAGCCTCACTGGCTCCCAGCCCATGCTCCCCAGAAGGGGGGCCCCAAACAAGCAGCTTCCTTGAGACAGGTCTAAATGCAGTTTATTCATCCAGATCTTTGAGCTCCTCAGGAAGCGATGACTCCATGGTACTGTCCTCCCATATCATGTCCATCTCCCCTTCTTGGGCCTGGGCCAGTTGGGCCGTGTGCTCAAAGGCATCCTGGAGCATGTGGGAGGCCAGGCAGGTGGCCCAGGTGACTACGTAGGCCAGGTGCCAAGAGGTAAGGGCTGCTGTGCTCTCCAGCTGCCAGTACAGCTCCTTCAACAGGCCCAGGAACTCCAGGGAAAACCGGTTATCCAGCAGCGCCTAAAACAGACCAAACAAGGTATCCATCCCCACTGACCACTCCAACAGTGCCCCCAGTTTTAACACTCCTATTGACCACCCTTGACCATGCCAATCTCTGTCCCTACCTATGTCCTCTGTTGGCCATGCCCACTGATCATGAGGTCTGGACTAACCACTCCTATTGACCACCCTCTGATCTCTCCTATTTACTGTGCCTCCAAAATTCACTCCAGCTAACCATTATTATCAAGCAACCCCCTCAACTCTCTGCTGATCATGTCGCATATTGACTGCTCTAATATCCTTACCACTTACCACTCCCATCAACTATACCTCTATGAGCCATTCCAACATTCACCCCTACTGACCTACACTATTGATCACTCATCAATGCCCACTCCCAGCAAACCATTCCTAGTAGCCACGCCTGACCATTTCTATTTACTATGTCCCTCCCTGATCACTCCCAACATTCCCCCAACTAACTATTCCTATTGACCATTCCCCAGCCTCTCCAATTGGCCACATCTGCCACTGATCACAACATCCATGTAGATTTCCTTCCTATTGATCATAACCTCCACACACCATTCCAATATTCAACCCTGTTGACCTACTCCATTGATCACCCCAATATCTACCCCAATTAACCATTCTTATTGACCACCCTCTCATTTCTCCCATTTACTATGTCCCCAACATCCACTCCAGCTAACCATTCCTATTACTCATGCTCCTTACCTCTCCTACTAATCGTGTCCCGTAATGATCACCCCAACATCTATTCTGACAATCCCAAATAAATCATTCCAACATTCAGCCCTCCTGACCTACTGTTACCCTTCAAGACCCACCCCCAACTAGCCTATGCCTATAGAGCATGCCTGCTAACCATGCACATCCACCCTGACTGACCATGCTCCCTCCACTGACCACTCGTTTCCACCCCCACCAGCCACTCATCCTGATCATTGATGTGTCCACTCCCTATGTCCAGCCTGGCCCAGACCCCTGCCTACTCACCAGTCGCTTCAGCTGCTTGATGGTGAAGCGGTGGACTGTCTGGCAAAGCCTCCAAGTGACCAGGAGGACCAGCAGGACCCCAAATAGCAAGCTTTGAAGCCAATAATGGAGCAGATTCTTCCAGATGCCCCAGAAGAAACCCAGGTGGCTACAGGCCACTTGGCAGAGATGGCAAAAGGTGAAGTGAGAGTTGAACATGCGACTGAGGACCAGGCCGGGTAGACGGAGAGCCAGGAGCAGCAGAGCACTCCACAGGGTCACCAGGCTCCTCATTACGGAGCCCAGGGGACAGAAGAGGCAGGAGCGGGATGGGGCAGGGGCCAGGAGCACAGAGCCCTCTGCTTCCTGGGCCAACCCTGACACCCAGTGGTTGAAGACGAAGATCTTCAGAAGCAGGAAATTGTAGATATGAACTCGATTCTGGAAAAGCTACAAGGGATGAGGAAGGCAAAAGAAACCAGCCTTAGTGAGTCAGGGACATGGCAGGATGGGGGTGCAGCAAGGGGACTATGGGACCTCATTCCAGAAGACACTGCCCAGCATGGCCTGGGAGGCCCTGAACAGAGCCCTAGGTCTGCAACTAGATCCCTGTACTCCCTTCGCCAGAATACACACCCTCTCTGGGCCTCTCCTCTCCAATGAAAGAATTAGACTAGAAAATGATTTCTTAATCTGGGGTCCACAGGGATCAGTGGATAGATTTAAGGGGGTCTGTGAACTCAGATGGAAAAAAGTGACCCCCTTTATTTTCATTGACCTCCAACTGAAATTTAGCATTTCTTTTTATTATTCCTGAGAAGGGGTCCTTCCACAGGCTTCACCAGAGTACCAAAGGGTCTGCCATTCAAAAGTTAAGAGCTTTTTGACTGGAAGCCCTTTAAGGGCCCATCCACCTCTGACCTTCCATGGGACTAAATACTCTCAAATGTCCACGGGGATGAAAAGGAACAAAGACACAGATAGTTCAACAAATATTTCTGTTTCACTTTGGATGCATTTTTTTTAAATGTACTTTTGCATCAGGATATATCTGATATGAAAAAATATCAGCAGCATGGGATAGTAGATAGAAGGCTGGATTCAGAGGTAGGAAGACCTGAGTTCAAGATCTGCCTTTTGACCCATACAGACTGTGTGACCCTGGGCGAGTCACCTAATCTCTCATTGCCCCCAGGCAATAGGAATATGAATTGCAGAGAGGATGAAGATTGATACCAGTAAAGGGAGTTTTTCCTCACTGAGAGTTCTTCATACCAATAAAATCACAGGTCCAGTCTCAAATAATCATGATGCCATGCAGAAGTGTATGGTAGATATGGGCAAGTCACAACATAACCAGTGAGGGCTGATGGAGAAGACAAGGAATCAAAGATGGTGTCAGGAAGAGTATGGATGGAAGAGAATGGATGGATGGAGACAGCTAGGGGGCGCCATAGTGCAGGAAGACTCAAATCGGGCCTCAGACATGTCCTAGCTGTGTGACCCTGGGAAAGTCACTTCACTCTGTTTGCCTCAGTTTTCCTTATCTGTCAAATGAGCCAGAGAAGGAAATGGCAAACCACTCCAACATCTCTACCAAGAAAACCCCAAATGGAGTCACAGAGAGTCAGGCACAGCTAATTGACTTAAAACAACAACAGGTTCAAATAAGATTGGTATGGAAAGTACCACGCAAACTTCTAAGAGCTATAGAAATATCACCTATTATTCTGTCTCTAAATTTAGCTGGCAATGACAACATGTGACCAAGCCCATCCCAATGAATTATGGCAAGAAAGTGGGTCATAGGATCATAGATTTAGATACCCTGCAGCCCAGAGAGGTTGAGAAAGACCCAAGATCATACAGCTAGGAAGTGACAGTCAGGATTCGAACCCAAGGCTTCTCATTTCAAATCTAGAGCCATTTCCAAAGCAGTCTGGTGCTGTCCCACCTCCTCATCATGGAAAGAAGTCCTAATCCTACAGGGGTCTTGGGGTTCTAGGACTTAGAAGTAGAAGGAACTTGGGTAGATCTTCCAATCCAACCTCGACATTTTGCAGATGAAGAAACTAAGGCCAAGAGAGGTTAACTAGACTTGTTCAATGTCACACAGATTCATGGTTCAAACTCCAGTCTTCTGACTACAAGAACAGTGTTCTTTCCACTCTATCAAGGCAGAGGATTCTGGGAAGATGGCAGAGTAGGTCAGAAAATTTCAAGCTCTCAAGATTTTCCTCCACAAAAGAGATAAAATAGCTCCTCTGGACAAACACAGAGCCATGAAAACAAATAGAGTAGGGGCAGAAGAGGGGTCGTCCTGGGACAACTGGAGAAGATCTGAAGAAAAATCCTGGACAAGATTTCCTCCCTGTGAAGAGTAAACACCTCCAGGCTCCGTCCACTTCAGCAAGCCGAGCAGCTTAAACAAGGAGTGTAAGCCCTGGAGTTAGCTGGGTTGGGAGGCTGCCTTGGCCCCAGCCACAGGAACTTTTACCCCTGGGCCAGTGAGGGCAGTTGGCCATCTGACCTGGAGAAGATGGAGGGAACCTCTGCTGACCAGGAACGCCAGACCCAGCTGTGCCTCGGAGACACGGTGGGGGCAAGAAGGAACCAGCACAGCCAGGTGAGTGCAGAAGCAGTGGGTGGGGATGCCCCTGACTGTGGGCACTTACAGGGGGCTGGAGGGTCGGGAGGGTGAACTGAAGAAGACTAGAGGCACCATCCCCCATATCCCAGGACCAGAGGTGATTATAAAAACTAAATTATTACCAAATAAATATTCTCAGCATCTGCCTTGCCATGTCTTCCATCCCTTGCTCTCCCTTCCCCCCTTTCCCATAAGAGCCTTTCAGATCTTGAAGACCACCACTGGCCCCACCCCAGGTTTTCTCTCCTCCAGACTAAGTATTCCTGGTCCCTTGGGTGGTGCTTTGGAATTCTCTCTCTCTCTCCTTCAGTTCCTCACCTTTCCACCCTGTGATTCAAATTTATGGCATTATGAAAGGGGAGATTGGAGCTGGTTATGCCTTAACCCCAGATGGGCAAATATCTGCAATGGTGGTCGATTACATGCACTCTTAACAAGTTGGGAGGGGAGAGGGGAGGCAGCAATGTGGCGCAGTGGGCTCTGGAGTCAGAGGCTGGGCTCCAACCTCGTCTCTGATGCTTAAAAGCTACCCATGTGACCATTCACCTCCCTGAGCCTCAGTTTCCTCATCTGCGAAATAAGGGGGTTGCACAAGATGACCTCAGAGGTCCCTTCTAGAAATAGAGCTCAAATCCTATTATCCTGTACTTGGAGGTGGAAGGCTTTGCCTGGCTAAAGATCATCGCCCCAGGTCTGGAAGGGACACTCAGGCCGTATAGTCTAACTCAACACTTTACAGATAAGAAAACTGAGGCCCACGGAGCTAAAGAGGTGAGACGAGCCCTGGCAACAAGGCCTGTGGTAGAGGATCCACCGCACTCTGGACTCCAGAGAGCCAGGATGGAGAAGGGGGTGTTGGGTGGGGGAGGTGTGCGTAGTGAGGGAGACCTGGGTAACTTCTTTTTCTTTTATTTTGGAGGCCATGGAAATTAAGTGACTTGCCCAGAGTCACGAAGCTAGCTAGTATGTGCCTGAAGTCAGATTTGAACTCGGGTCCTCCAGACTCCAGGGCCAGTGCTCTATCCGCTGCACCATCTAGCTGCCCCCTGGGTAATGTCTTCATGTGTGTGAGGAGAATCAGCCTTCCCCCTTTTCCTCCCTAACCCTGAGCTGGCCTCACCAACACTGAGATCTTTACTGTTTGAAGCACAATGCCTTGAATGCTCGATCGGACGCGGAGAGTGTCTGCCATCCTGGCTCTCTTCTGGCCACCTGAACAGTGGATGACTTCACAGATTCTTTCCTGTGAAAAGGCACCGTTTCCATGGACACGTGGTTGCTATGAGACAACGGGTATCCACCTCCGCCTGTCCTGACCACTGACTCTGTCTCATTCCTAGAGTTTCTAAGATACCAGAGGCAGGAAAGGATGCTTCAAAGCAGCAGAGAGCTCTTGGAAGGAGGGCCATCTCAGAGGCCAGCCAGCCCGAGTAACCCTTCATTTTACGGATGAGGAAAATGAGGCCCAAAGGAGATGAAGTGGTTTGTCCAAGGTCACACAGACAGCTAGCATCTGAGGTGAGATTCTAACCTAGTTTTTCTGAGTCTACGTCTGTCCAGTTCTCTTTCCACTGCAACAGAGAAAGGCTGGAAGAAGCAGAAGGGGGGGAGCAGCCTGCCCAGAACTAGTCTAGCCTGACTGGGGGGATGTTCCGGGCCCAGGACCCCCAGATCCTCCCGCTGCTCCCACTGACTCACAGAAAGAAGCCACGTAACCGTATCTTCAGGCAAGGCACAAACCCCAGTCGAGTGGGAGGGTTCTCTCCCCCAGACAAAAGCTACAGGGAAGGAGGAGAAGGGTATGGAACTGGGAGATTTGGGAGAGAAAAGCACGGACACAGGAGAGATTCTCAGTGCAGACTGTACTTTTGCTGCTCTGCCAGTTTACTGGGTAGACATTAGCACCTTCCTTCTTGGGTGGCAGGGCAGGGGGAAGGCCAGGGGAAAGGAAGACCCGAGATGAGTGGGGGAGGGGAAGTCCTGGCAACATCGGTCTCAGACCAGGAGTTGCTTCTCCAAAGCTTAAGTGATCAGAATATCCTAGAGCCAAAAGGACTCTCAGAAGAACCCTCACCCTCAGTCCCATCAGGTCCCCCCTTGCCTCCTTTCTCCAGCCTGCGATAGCTCTTTGAATCACCCAGTGAGAGGAAAGACATTTGGTCAGCAGGTTCATAAAACCCCAGACCGCAAAGGACATTAGCGGCCAGCTAGTCCAACCGCTAGCAGAACAAAAACACTCAACATCCCTGACGAAGGATTCTGTCCAGCATCTCCAAGAGTCTCGTGATGGAAAATGCTCTCCACGTCCAGAGAAAGAACTATGGAGTTCGAATGCAGATCGAAGCAGACTATTTGCTGTTTTTTTTTTCCGCTTTGTTTTGCTTCCTCTTTCTTGGGGTTCCTCCTATTGGTTCTAATTCTTACTTACAACATGAGTAATGTGAAAATATGTTTAATAGGAACGTGTATGTACATTCCTACATTGTGCACCGTCTTGGGGAGGGAGGGGGAGAAGAAGGAGGTGAAAAATTTTAAACTCAAAAGCTTATAAAAATGATTGTTGATAAATCAAAATAAATTAATAAAAAAAATTTTAAGAAAGGATTCTGTCTTGGCTTGAAGAACTCAAGTGAGGAAGACAGTGTGATAGAGTGGAAAGAGCTCTGGCTCTGGAGGTTCAGGACCTAGGATCAAATTCTGGCTCTATCACTTACCACCTGTGTGACCTTGGGCAAGTCACTTCCTCAGCCTCAGTTTTCCCATCTGTAAAATAAAGGTAGAGGAGGACGCTATGGCTTCTGAGGTCTCTTCTAATCCTAGGATCCATTGACTACTTAAGGCATTTAGCCCACTTTAGGATGGCGAGAATAAATGGCAAAGTTAAATCCGCCTCTCTAGATTTCTAGCCCCTCTTGCTCCTCTTCTCCTCTCTAAGGGAGAGAGCACACCTAGCCCTCCTTCCATATGACAGCCCTTCCATTCATGAAGCCAGCTCACAGACCCCCAAGTCCTCTCTTCTTCAGACTACACCTCCCCCATTCCTTCAGCCTGGGAGAGGATAGGTAGGAGGCTGGCCTCCTTATTTCTTTCAAATACTTGCTGCAGTTCTGAGAGTGAGAAGGTTAATCAGTGTCTTTAGAAGGAGGAGATGGGGATCCAAGTAAGAGTCATTGGGGTCAGGAATCACCCAGCAAGGAGTAATTAGGTGCTTACCATGTGCCAGGCATTGTGCTAAGCATCGACGTTACAAAGAAAAAGCCAAGTCCCTGCTTTCAAGGAACTCACATTCCAATGGAATGTAAGAATTCCCTGACCATCTCCCCCACCCCCTTTGCAGGGGTGGAGGATCAGACTCAATGGACGCATTGGTTACTTTTACTGAACTGATGTGGTTTTTTTTTTTCCATTTGTATTTTTTGTTGTCAAGGATAACTCTCTGGGTTGATGAGGCCAAGGGATGCATTCAAATATGGAGGTTGTGTAAAAATAAATACTTTATAGATTCTCATTGATTGGGGAATGATGAAACAACCCATGACACATGAATGGCATGGAATGTGAAAATTCAGAGAAGCATCAGAAGACTTCTGAACTGATGATACGGTGGGAAGCGAGCAAAACCAAGAACACAAGATGCACAATGACCACAACTATGTAAATGGAACAAAGAACAACAGGAATAGGAATTGACATGGGGTAATGGTAATGAACAAGCTTGACCTCAAAGGAGGCATGTGAAAGGTGCGCACTTCCCTCCCCTCTTTATAGAGGTGTGGAAGGCAGTGTGTGTTTTCAGATTAGATTGATATATTAGGTAGTTTGGCTGAACTGATTTTTTTTAATCTTCCTTTTTTAGTCCGTGTTTTAAGGGACAGTTCTCTGGGTGGGAAGGATGATGTCAAAGCACCATTTCTTTTAAAAAAAAAGGAATCTTAAAAATATTCCTTTAAAATACTTAAAATATAAAACATATTCCATTAAAGGGCTCAGATCCCAGACCAGGTGGCCAAGGTTAAGTAAGAAGTCTTCATCCTGGGTGGTTCAGTAGGAAGGAATCTGGACTTGGATTCTAGTCCTGGCTCTGATGGTCCACTTCCTGTGGCACCAGATGCCCCTTCCCAACGTGGAGGCAACATGATTGTTTCTTTGAGAAATGTTGTGGCTTCCCTGCTCACTTGAGCTCTAATGGTGGGCTACAGTTGATGTCCCACTCAGGGAGCCCTTTTTATAGCCCTGAAAATCGAAGAACATTTCCACTGCCTACTATCCTCAGACCAATGTCTAGACCATGGACTCAACCACACAATGGGACAAGGCTCCACCGTCAAACGTCCCACCATTGAGATAATTTACAGTCACCAAATGGAAGCGTCGGAAATGACATCAGACACAAACTAGTCAAGCCCTTTGATAAAAAGGGATCCCCTTTCCACCCCTTGGACAAGTAATTCATCCTTTTCTTGAAAACCTCCAGTGAGGCGGACCCCTCCCCACTTCCTAAAGCACCCCATTGCCCTTGAGTGCAGCTCCAATTGTGGGGGTCACTTTCCTTAGGTAGAGCCTCACCCCTTGGCTGCTGGTTCTGCCCTGTGGGACCCAGGAGAGCAAGTGCAATCTCCCTCTTCTGCATGACAGACCTCCAAACTTCCAAAGACCCTCTCCCCCAATGATACCTGACGAGAAGTCTTCAGTTCTTCAGGCTAAACATCCCCTAGTTTGGTGGTTGTTGTTGTTAACTGATCCTCCCATGGTATTATTGATTCTGAGTCTCTTTTCTCATCTGCAAAATGAGGGGAGGTGGTCAGATAACCTCTCAGGTCCCTTAAGATTCTGCTAACCCTTCTCTGGGAGTGTGAACTTCCTTCCTGAAATGTGGTGCTCAGAACTGAACACACCATTCCAGGTGGGGTCTGACCAGGGCAGACGGAATACATTGGGACTGTCAGTTCCTTAATCCAGCCTTCCTTTAATGCATTCTAAGATTGTAAGAGCTTTTGACTCCTTTCAGTACATAAAAATGCCTCAGGATCTTTCTCAGGCTTGTTCCCTGGCCCATAGCACATGCTTAATAAATGTTTCTGAATTGATCTCATCTTTGGGAAGCTGACTTTTGGAACCCAACTCTAAAATTTTACTTTTATCTCTAGTGAATTTCATCTTATTTGATTTGAACCAATGTCCTAGCCCATCATAATCTTACTGGACCTTGATCCTCACCTTCTACACTTGCATAATACAAAAATTGCTAGCATTTATACAGGGTGTCCCAAAAATCTTAGCACAGTCTTAAATTATTGTAACTTATGTTACTTAAGTTTAAATAACTTATATTTTGAGCAGTTTTTAAGTTATTGTAATTTAAGTTGCTCAAGTTTAAATAACTTTAAACAGCACTAAGATCTTCGGGACACCCTGTATCATACTTGAAGTTTTGCAAAACACTACATATGTTATCTCATTTGGCCCTCACAATTACCCTGTGAGTAAAGTGCAAATAATAGGCAGAGATGATAAGCAAGTTATATATGCTTTTCTTCAAGTCACTGCCAAAAATGTTAAACAGCATAGGGCCAAACACAGATCCCTTGGGCACTCCACCAGAGACCTCCTTCCATGTTGACATTGAACTCTTCATAACTACTCTTTGAGACTGGGTCATTCAACCTCTTCCATATTCACCTAACTGTACAGTTGTCTGGCTCACATTTCTCCATCTTTGCCACAAGAATTGCATGAATTTTGCCAAGTATTTTGCTAAAATCTAGGTAAACGACCTCTGCCATATGCCCTTGATCTACCAGTCACATAACCTTGTCACGAAAGGAAATGAGGCTGGGCTGATAGGACGTGTTTTGGCTGGAGTCATGTTAGCTCTTTGGGATCATTTCCTTCTCCAAATATTTATTGCCTATGCCTTTAATGGTTCATCCTAGAATTTTGCAGGAAGTAAAATAAAGCTCATCATCCTATAATTTACTGGCTCTATTCCTTCCCTTTTAGGGGTCAATATTTGCTTTTCTCCAGTGCTATGATACCTCTAAGATTTCCCACAATCTTTCAAAAATTACCAACAATGGCTCAGCCATAATATCAATAAATCAACCAACAAGCATTTATTAAACATTGTGTGCCAGGAACTGAGCTAGACACTGGAGATACAAAGAAAAATGAAAAATAGTATCTGCCTTCAGGGAGCTTACATTTTAATAGTGGAGAAAACATGAGAGGCAGCTTGGTGTAGTGGGTAGAGAGCTGGATTCAGAACCAGGAAGACCTGGGTTTGAATCCTAACTCAGACACTTACTAGCTATGAGACCCTGGATAAGTTATTTGACCTCTGTGCCTTAGTTTCCACATCTGTAAAATGAGGGGCACAGGACTTGATGTCATCTAAGGTCCCTTCCAGATCTAAATCTATGATCTTATGTACATGTTGACAAGGTAGTTTGGGCAGGAAGGGAGCTAGCAGCTCAGGAAGGGAGCTAGCAGCTCAGGTGAGGGGCAGGGAGGACAGAGAGGGCTTCCATAGAAATCTGTCAGTTCTTTCCGAGACCTCAAATGCAGCTTATCAGGGTCTGGTGACTTGAGCTCATCAAGGACAGCTTCTTGTTCTCTTCCTATCTCTGCTTCTCTTAGCATCCAAATCCGTATTGGTCAGACAGAGATAGAGATGGGGAGAGCTGGGTGGATGGATGGATGGATGGATGGATG